CCAGAAGACATTCATCAGTGTCTCAATGGACAGGACACATTTATGCCTAAAGTTCTGACAATTGCACCATGAAGGGCACTGGATTTTCTTCAGCTTTAGTAAAAGGTATACACCAGATTAGCTTTTTTGTTTTTGAGATTGGGTCTCGCTATGCTTTGGCCCCTGAAAGTGCTGGGATTATGGGTGTGGGCCGCTGTATCCAGCCTAGCTTAGTTTGTTTAACATAAAAAAAAGAAAAAGAAAACTAGAGAAAAAAAAAGCATGAAAATATCAGACATCATGAAAAACACCCATTTTGCTTAAAGGTCTCATGCTTAGGTTAAACTTGAATCAGATCACAAACTTTAAATGCCAATACCAAAGCGCACCCCTGGTCCGAAATGCTGTTGGCAGGTGTAAAGGGGTGGGGCCTGGGTGAAGGGAGAGGATGAGAGACCTACTTCACATCCGCCTGATTCCCTGCAGGACAGGACAGCACCCTAACAGCTAAAGCCCCAACCCTCACTGGGGCTGCCCTGTCCTCTACAGGGTCACACCCTCCAGGACCGCTTCAAATCTAGTGTTCTGAGCTGAAGGAGAGCACCTGTAACCTGGAAAACACCCTGAAACCCACTCCCTGGCAGGACGCTCAGGAAAGGGGAGGCGCGCAGGTGGCCACTGCAACAGGCTGTACCTTGTTGACTCCTCATCCTGCATGAGCAGGGGGGGCTTATCTGTCAGCTTCTGGGGGGCGAACTGAGGTGAGGGGGAGCGTGAGGTCTCCATGGCTGTGTTCTGGGCTGGGTCTGCGGGAGGCGGCAGGGCTTGCGGCTCAGGGCAGGTGGCAGCCTGGCTCACATGCTGGCGGGCAGCGGCCTCCGGGACGTCCTGGGGATGGGCGCTGGACACCGAGGGGCCGTGGGGTAGGGACAGGCGAGCCGCACACGTGTCCTCCGGGGGCGCAGGGAGGGCCCCTCTGGGGGCCGCCAGGTGCTCGCGGGCAGATGCGCCCTCGGGGCCGCGGCACTTTCTGGGCACTGGTGGGGCGGTGCTCACTGGCCGTGAGTCCTGTCCCCAGATTTGCGGCCCCGAGTCTGCAGGGGGGCCCTCCTCTGGGTATCTGTAGTCACGAGGTAGTGTCCCCGCTCGGCTGCGGCCCTCCCGGGCGTCAGGGAACTCAGAGGATGTGGGCGGCTTCCACGGGCTGTGATTCAGGGGGCGCCGTCCTGTTCCTAGACTGCCCTCCGGATACGGGGCATCTGCTTGTCTAGAAGAAGAACGAATAAAGCTTAGCCAGCAATCCCGGTTAATACCTCCCCAAGTGACTGCACCCAGACCTTCCCATCCCCTTCTGAAGGAGCTAAATGCGCACATGTTTCCCCACGGTAGCTCCTAACGCAGGGGCCAGTCCCCACACACATTCCACAACATGAAGCTGTAACACTAACTGGTACCTTGTGCAAAAGAACGCCAGACATTCACAACACGCACGGATTGGATACAGGTGCAAACACGTCACACACACACTGCATTTTTTTTGCCAACCCCCACCTCATTTTAGAAAACAGTATGAATGTGAAAATTTTCACACATTGTTATATCCAGAAATATTTGCTTCAAGTCAAATATTTTATTTTTCAATAAAACCTTGAAAATAAGTAGTGTATTATGAAAAATAAGAAAGTTTACAAAGAC